CCACAGAAATCCCCAGAGACCCTAGACTGAAGGAAGCCTGGCTGTGCGGAAAGAAGGGTCTGGGTGTAGGACCCAGCCCCAGCTCCCCAGGGACCCCGTTCACGGAGAGTGGAGACCGACCGGTCCCCTCTGGCACCAGCGAGGACCTTGCTCCGTGTCCATTCCCAGCCAGCCCTGCCGCTGGGGGAAGCATGAGGAGGGGAAAGGGAGGATAGCGGAATCGGGCCGGCGGGAGCCCAGAACAGCCGGCCAGGGCTCCGGCGCTGCGCGGTGGCTCTGGGGAAGCCAGACTCTCATCTCCATCCCTCCACTCCTCCCCACACTTACCCGGCACCTCAGAGCCCGCTCTCAAAGCCCTCTCTGCCAGTCCGCGCCGGAATAAAAGGCAGAAGAGAAAGGGAAAAAAAGAGGGGGGCGGGAACCGGAGGGAGAAAGTTTTCTGAAATGAGTTTCCCAAAGGAAGAGCTGAGGAAAGGGAAATGGCAAAGAAAGTAAGGACGCGAGCAGACAGGAGAGTGGAGCTGATGGCGCCTTCCCCGACCGGTCCAGCCAGCACAGCCTCCCGCGCGCCCATGAGATTCCGGGGTCGCAAGCGGGGTCCTGCGCTCGCGACCGGACTGGGGCCTCCCCAGCCCGGGGCGCGGGCTGCAGCGGAGCCACAGTCTCGAGGCCCGTGTGTCCGTCTCGCCATGTGCTCCCAAAGGCAGGCGCCAGCCTGTCTGCGTGGGACCCGTGCTGGCGTGAAGCACACCCGACGTGGGGACGACATTTTCCCCCCGGCTCACGGAGGGTCGCGAGGAGCCCATTGGGTGGCGGGGAGTGGTGGGAACCGAAAGGAGCCTCCGGCCTGCGAGGCGCCGCCGGGGTGGGACGAACCCAAGGACCTCGGGCCCCCGGTCACTTTCCGGAGCTTCTGGGCGCCGGGTCTGCGGCGAGGCGGCGGGCAGGGATGTGGCCGGAACTTGCTTGCTGGAGGTCCCGGCCTCCTCCGAAGGCCCTGCTCTCGTCTGCGTGCGCCCGGGCCGGTTGGTGCTCCAATGATGGGTTGCGCAGGGACTAACAGTGCCTGAGAGGGCATCAGTGTGGAGGCAGGATGTGGATGTCTGTGTAACTGTGTGTCAGTGTGTCACTAGGACTGTGTCATGGGATTGTCAGCTTCTCAGAGATGCAAATGGTCACTCTAAACCGGCCTGAGCCACCGTGTCGTTCTGGATTCAGTGTGATGATGTCGGTCACTGGACTGTGTGTGTGTCTCTGTGCTCTGGGGAAGGAGGAACAACGCTTTGGAGTTTGCGACCCTTCCCAGCCCAGAGGCTTTTCTGGCAGAGTCCAGGCGACTCTAGAGGTGGAGGATGCCAGTCGGCTTGGGATGATTCCAAAGGAAGTCAAGTCTCCACCGCATGGAGTCCTGGTGGTCTCCCTTGGTCCCCCGAGCCACGCATCCGGATTTCTTCCAGAGCGCCACCTGCCAGACCTTTTTTGCCCCAAAGGGGATACACTGTTCATGTGGGCACGCTTTTACCCCTTCTGTGCATGTGCACTTGCACACGCAGTTACCCAGCTATCATACACCCTTGCTCCTTCCGCCGTGCATGCACCGGTAAAGTCACCCCACAGCCAGACTCAGCTTCCATCCTATTCCCAGATCACAGCCAAAGCCCTCCTTGCCAGGTACCTCTTCGGGTTGGTGAAATGAACTGGGCCTTGGAATTTAATTGAAGCTAGAATCTCTGACTTCTCTCCTCCCAGACAACACCAAAGTTCTGCTAAATGTAAATGACTCTAGTATTATTTGCATCCTTACTGTTGGGATTTTCCCCCCTCTTTGCCGTACCCTGACCACCAATCCCAGGCCTCCAGGGACCTAGGCCAAAATCTATTGCCGTTAGTTTCACCGTCCCCTTTCTTCTCCTTGTCTCTTTCCAGCTCTAGTTCCTGGCTGGGGTTCTACTGCTTGGGTTTCCTGCATCTCCCCATTCAGGTCCTGAAATTCCACGTTAGGAATTCCGGGCCAGGGAGCCCGAGGGCTGGAAAGCTGAGTCTCCCAGACTGCAGATACTGGGTCTGAGTAGATCAGAAACCCCTTGGAACCTGCCATTGCCAAAGAAGCAGAGAATTCTTCCAGAGGTGGTGGGAGGGGGCGGTTCCCACCCAGAGTTATAGATGGGATTCCGAGAAGGCTGAGAGGGGTTTGGAGGGACCTAGACAGACGACCTTGCCTCCTCTAAGAGTCTGGGAAAGGAAAGGTTCTGGGACCACCTCCCTGTCGAGGACATATGGGCAGAGCTGCCGCACCAGAACAATGCCCCAACCCCCTACGCCCCCCGATTTGTGGAGTCAATGAGATCCTGGTCCGATGGTGCAGTGCCCTTCCTTGGGGCTGAGGGCTCCAGGCCTGAGTGGCAGCAAACGGTTTGCACGGATGGGCTTCCTGTCTGAAGGGTCTTACAGCCCAAGACCTCGTGCTGGATTCCACCTGCTTTCACAAGCCCTGGGGGAGAGGGGGCTAGGCCTCCACTCAAAGCCGGCATTCTAGGGCAATTCTGGATGCTCCCAGCAGGTGCTCCAAGCAGGAGGGCCAGAATGGCAGGGCCCACGAGCCTGATTGCCAGAAACACCCTGCTCCCCCATCAGGGTGGCAGCTCTCGGCTTCCTGGGTTCAGCCAACCTCAGAGCCAGCAGGCTAGCAGACCAGTCCTGATGCCCAAGCCCGAAAGCTCTGCCAAAGTGGCGTGTGCCCCCCTCTCCGCTCATCAACCGGCTCTTGACCGGTGTCCGTACCTAGAGTGAGAAGCAGAAGACACATTTGAGGCTCAGGTACACACACACACACACACACACACACACACACACTCAAGGGAGAGCTTTGCCCAGATTTGTCTGTTTCCCCACTGGCCGGGGGAAGGGTGAGAGTGCCGCCCAAACTCGGGCGAAACTTGAAGAGGCAAGAGAAGAGGAGACAGGCGAATGTGGAGTCCTGTAAATAAACACCATTTCCATGGTTTTAATAAGCAAAATAGGAAACCATTTTAATAACCAAAAAACAGAAACCAGTCTGAATAAAACTACAATAGACTAGGTTTTAATATTTTCATATCATAAGCAGGGTTTGAAATTGATCCCTTATTGTACATGAAATAAAAACAATTTCTGTTGAGGGGAATTTGATTTCAACACAGTTGAATCCGTAAAAACCGAAACTCGTTTCTGATGCAGGACAAATATCCACAATATTTAAAACTGCAAGCACCATGCGGTTCATACAATCTTGTTATTACTGTTAATTTATCAACTAATACAAACTCAAAAATGCATCCGGCCAGCAGCGCCAGCAATTTCAAATGAGAACTAAAAAATACGCTTTCATTTTGGTATTTTTGTCAGTGCAACTTAAATCCTCTTACTGACCTGCAGGGGGAAAAAAAGTAATAATAAAGAAAAAACACCCAGATCTTCCCTATAACTACTATACAACTGAAGGGGGCGGGGGTAACACCACCAATAACTCTCCCGCTCTCTCAAAAGCAGGGAAAGAAACACACATAACATATTGGTCTAAAGAACACACTTGAAAGTTGCAAAATTACTTGCCAATGTTTGGGTTTCTGGTACTTTCTGAGTGTGGTGATTGGTTCAACATAAGTTCAGGTCACCGTTGGGCAGTCTGGGCTGGTGAAGCCAGTCACCCGAGGAGCATTTCGGCCCCAGCAATTAGTGCGGACCTGGAGAGTTTCGTGGGGACCCTGGGGTGATTCTGGTTGCAATAAAAAGCAAACAAGATCTGTTTTCCTTTCCTATCTTCTTAGGGGTGTCAACGTAGCCCTAAAACCAGGTGATGTGAGGACACTCCCCGGCCTCCAGGGTGTGAAACTCTGCAGCTGCCCTGCCCTGGTACTAGGGAGCTGGGACCCCAGTCCTCCTTCTCCCAACAAAAACAAAATTGAAAACTAGAACGGGAGGAAAAGAGGACCGAAAGGGGGCAGGGGAGGGGGAGAAAACATGCAATTTCCAAGGGTGCCCCAAGACAGAGTTGTTTTCTGATGCAAATGCCCAGAAGTTTGTTTTTTTGTTTTCTGTTTTTTACTTACAAAAAATGCCATAATAATAAACCCAAACAACGACACTCAGCTTGCTGCCAGGTTCTCTTAAGCGGTTTGGCGGGGCGGGTATTTACAAGCCTACAGCTCATAGACTGAAACCCGACAAGCAGCCGCCGCCGGAGTTTCCGAACTGCGATCCCTTCTCACCCAAAGAAACAAGGGGGTTATGATCCATGATCAACAACATGCTAAAGTTAAACAAGAAAATGGTACAAAATAGAAATTATTACCATACATGTCCAGCATGCAGGATTAATATTTTTAATGCAGATTTTCGTATTTTTTCTATATAATCGAGCAGGCAATAAAACTGATGAGATTTGCGCGCAGAACGTCCTAACTGAGGCCCGCGTCTCGGGGCTGAGAGCCAGTGTTCTCCGGACCCTGGACAGACAGGTCCGTCTGTCCTTCCTTCCTTCGCTCAGCCTCGCCTCGCGCCTGCCGGGACGCCAGGGTCCCTCTCCTTTCCTCTCCTCGCTGCTCTCTTGCTGGACTGGATTACGCTCCGGGCCGCGAGGAAGCGGCCCCGGCTTAATGCGCAAAGTTCAGGAAGCCAGGAGTCTCCAGACGGCCTTGGCGACTCCTCGCGACTATGCCTTGCCGCCCTCCAGCCTGGAGAAAAGTTGCTCTGAGACTTCCCACCCCCTCGCTTCCCTCTGGCTCTGCTCGAGTCTAGGAGGCGCCGCTGGCGCTCACCGCTCTCGCCTTGGCCAAGGTCCCCTGCCTGCCCGCGTGCCCTCCCGTCGCCCGCGTCCTGCGCGCCCTTCCTCCCTCTCCCTCAAGTCAAACAGGTCATGGCTGGGGCCGTGGCAGGGACAGGGTCCGGGGTAGTCCGGGGCTGGGGACACGGGACGGGGAGTCCGGGCCGGGGCAAGGGCGGGGGCCGGGAGCGGCCACGACTCACAGAAAGAACTCGGGAGAGGAGGGGCTGTCGCTGGTGGAGCCCGCCTCCCTGAAGCCGGAGTTGGCGAGTTTCTCGCACTTGACCTTGTAGGCGTCTCTTTCGCGGGCCAGCCGGGACACCTCCTGCTTAAGCTGCTCCACCTGCTGAATGAGCTGCGTCTTCTCATTCTCCAGGTGGTGTTTCTGCTGGACGCGTTTATACCTGCACGACTGGGCGTAGCCCCGGTTCTTCAGGGTCCGCCGCTTCTGCTTCAGGCGGATCACCTCGTCCTTGGTGAAGCCCCGCAGGTGGCG